CTATATATGCAATTCAAAATTTATTTGTTTTGGAATGGTCATGTTTTGGCATGATGTCAGTAAATGTAGATATTTAGTATTAATTTTCATGTTATGCTTACACTAGTTTATACTACAATGTTTGCCATAATTAATATCAGCTATGCTTCTACATAATATGCGGTCTGAAACCTACAACGTAGAGATAGTCTCTTGTCTCATAGAATTTGTATTTTCGGTCGTTTATACGCTACAACTCGTCATGTTGTAATTATATTGTATCTATACATTGAAAGCGATGTCTACAGAAAGTGGATTCATTTGAATTTTCTTCAAAATCTCTCAAAAACCCAATTCTACACTGACGAAGCTATAATTTTCATAGTGTTTACATATCGAAAGATCGCAATGTGCCACACTGCATACGTCACTGGCCGCGCGATGGAATGTCAGGAATTAAGGAATTTCGCCAGTAAATAGTCTCAAAATCGAACTTTAATCGTAAAATTAACAAACTTCTGGTTCGAATTTTTCAACAAGATTGGTATTTTTGTGATCGGAAAAGACCAAATTTTCAGAAAATGCAAAAAAACCGATATAAAAATTTTCATTTCATATACACTTATTACAATGTCAAACAAATCCTTTTCCCAAAAAATTCGTGAGAGAAAGCGAATTAGAAATGAAGTGAACGAACCTTTGTCGATGTTGGCAAATATGCCCAGTAAAGAAATTTGAACTTGCACCGATAGATATCTGAAAATGTCGTCACAATTGTATTGTCTCAAATGTCTTTTATATTGGCCATTGACTGGTAGTGGTACTAATGGTGATGGTTACGAGGTTCATCCAGAAAGACGACTTTTAGTAAAAGGCACTGAGTAATGTGGCGTACTTGGAGGTATTATTTAACAATTATTCGCCGAAGGCGTAGTGATCGGTGAATAAAAACCAAGACGAAGTCGAGGTTTTTATTCACGATAATCACCCAGCCTGAGGTGCCATAATTGTTTTAGTATAATTTCATAGGTGATTATTTGGGAAAAAAATACACATTTCTTCGTCATTTATTTGAAAAAAAAATGGCTTCGGCCGCCATTTTGAAAATCGCTTAGGTGATTATCGCTTTATAATCACCTCATCGGCAACCAATCAGTGTGGAGAATTTTCAATAATCATCTATGTAATTATACTAATATCTAATATTATATGGAGGATATATGTATAGTCTGTCAGTACCCCCCCCCCCAATGGTCTTCAAAACCGTTCTCACGAAAATATTGGGGAGTGGGGGGATGGGGGGGGGGTAGGTGAGGTAAGCAACAAGTCAAATCCAATTAATTGTAATTAATTCTAGAAAACCTTGTACAAACATTTGTAGATATCGCTCCCAGAAAAATGGATTTAGTTCAAATTTAGTAAGTAGCAAATGTGTGATGATGACAATAAGTCTATGAATATTATTCTATGAATATTGTGCCTTGTTCCAATGTAATAATGACAGAATTTTGGGATTTATGATGTAATTACTTTTAAAAACTCGTATCAACATGTGTGAAATGGCATTTCCAAGCACTAGTCACTAGAAATCAAAACATTTTCCCGGGGAGGCATGCCCCCCCCCTTGCTCATTCGTGGCTTTGCCACTCACTGCTCACCCCCCCCCAAACATTCGACCCTGGCTATGCCACTGCAATACATTATAGTATAGTATATACTCTACAGTTTACCAAAAATCAGGATATTTTCAGAATGAAATTATTTTGCATTACTGCACACTAAAAGTTTATTCATAAACCATAAAGTTTATCAATTTATGGAAATATGGCGAGATTTGAAGTGTGACATCATTACAATGTATTGAATTACCCCACTGAGTACATACGCAACCATGCAGGCTAAGAATGACACACAATGACGAATATATACTATTAGTCCTTTTGGGGTCGCGTAGCTGCATGCTATGTATCGGGAGGCCTTCGCAATTGGATGGGGGTTTTCTAAAGAATGAAGCAATTCATTGTTATAAACACAAAAGCAATTGTCATATCGAGCCAATGAAAACCACTCTTCTGAGCTACTGCAAGGCTACCCTATGTATCAGGGACGTGCTGGTGTCTTAAAAAGGACAACGTATGAGCAACTATTATTGAAATATAGTATACCCTGAAATGTAGTAACACAGCCAGGTGAATATATGAATGTATTATGTAGGCCAGTAATGTAAACTAATAAATCATGATAAATTTATGCTGATAGTTCATGAAATCATAGTGTTCTAAATATAATCGAGATCTCAACAATACATAACTCGAGCAAAGAGACTGGGCACAAGTAAATGCGATACTTCATGTTAAGAATAGGGTACTGCCTTCGGCACCAATAAGAAATAACGAAAGTAGAAGCAAGAGAACACTAGTCACTATGAATTATATATCATCCAGATTCAAAGATGAAGAAAATGATCGTTTTAAAGCTGTAGTGTAATTATTTATTTTTCAGTTTCTTGTTTTTATGGTTTGTAGGCTAGGTTTGTTCCCAAGATATTTCAATTTGTTTGATATGTAAATGAGTGAAAAACGTGAACTGATATCTACAGTTTTTAGAGTTAATAGATTTATAACCAGTGTAAGGTCACACTCATTTACATATCAAACAAATTGAAATATCTTGGGAACAAACCATAAAAACAAGAAACTGAAAAATAAGTTACACTACGGCTTTTAAGCTGTAGTGTAACTTTTTTTTCAGTTTCTTGTTTCTTGTTTTTTTTCGGTTTTTTTCTTATTTTTCAGTTATTTCATTTAAGAAGAAAATATGAAATTTGATGTCATATACACTTTAAAGGAACTTACAGATTAATTTTTGACTCATATGGTAGGCTATTCCAAAGTGCAGCACCATAAAGGCCGGCGCACACTAGAGCTATGTGCTTAGCAAAATGTCATTCGTGACTGTTGGCGTAAGGAGATAGCTCTTGTGTACGGGCGATTTACGAACAACTTTTGTCATTCATGCCACTTACGCCAAATATCTAACATGTTTGATAATTTCTGCCTCGCGTGCCAAAATCTTTCCGTGTGCGGCGAACGAAAGCTATCTGCTTACGGATTGTCGTAACAGCGCATGCGTAGTATACGAAAGTAAACATCCAAGATGGCGAACAGCTCACAAGATGGATGAATGTGAAGACGAAGACGTGTTGTTATTTTGTTTGCTGTTGCGTCGTCGCCGTCGACGCTTACGAGCATTGAATCGTCAGACATGGACGAAGCGATGGATTATGAGACGACAGGGTCAAGGAGCCTATGCAAACCTTGTTAAAGAACTAAATGCCGAAGAGCCAGAGCAATTTCGACAATATCATCGTATTGACAGGCAGTCATTTGAAAGCATTTTAACTATGGTGAACCCATTGATAGTAAAGCAAGACACGCAAATGCGGTTTTCGATCAGTCCGAGAGAACGTCTCACTGTCACAATACGTTTCCTTGCAACAGGTCAGGTTTATAGACATTTTTATAAATAATTATACAAGCTCGTATTGTATAAATATGAGACAAATCGTATCATGTGCACATTTACAAAACTATTTAATCTATTAAATTTTAGGTGAATCATTTAGAAGTTTGGCTTTTCAATTCAGGATGGGAGAAAGAACAATATCTGGTATCATTGAAGAAACATGTTTGGCACTGTATGGGACAATGAAGGGAAACTTCTTAAAGGTGCTGTATTGTTGCAACGTCTTAATTTGTAAAAAATAGTATATTTGTAGTATATTTAAAATTTCCACATAAATTTACGATCTCAAATTCTCACAGATGTCTATATTGAAAATATTAAATCGTACTGGGATTCTGGGACTGAAGTCTGATGTAAAGTCAATCAATGACAACAAGAGCCAAGTGCTGCCACGATATGTTAACTGAGTATATGGATTACAAAAATAAAATATTAATTAGAAAAATAGTGATACAATATTTTATTATACAACAATATTACACATATCAATAAATAATAATTTATTATTCAACATTTAATTATAAATAGTAATTCAATATTCCTTCAACAACAATAATTCATTATATAACATATATATAGTTAATAAATAAAAATTAAATATTAATTATTCAACATATTTTAATAAATAATAATTTAACAATAATTACTCAGCATCAATATATGTAATGAGTTATTCAACATGTAGGTTGTTTCCTTGCTGCTGGATCAACTCAGGCCAGTTGCTTTGACCAAGGTTGCATAGAGTGTACTAGATGTACTTGGGAAACTCTGCTGCACCCTTGCATAAGAGGGGAAATTCATCATTGGTGGATTGGGTGGAAACCAGTTGTGTTGTGGATCAGGATCTGATGAAAATGCTGTGTTGTTTCCCTCTTGGTATGATAGTGTCCCCATTTGTGCTTGGAACAATACATTGTTTATATGGTGTTTGGACAAATGTGTCATTCTTGGCTCAAGTTCTGCCAATGATTCAGTCACATACCGACCAAATGAGCTCATTGGTTCATCATGAGTGTCAGCTGTTTTATGCCGTTTGTTTTGTCGTTCTGCTATTGAGGTTGCAAGGCCTTTGATTGGCTCAAATTCCTGCTCTGCCTGTTTCCTTCGGGATAACTTACCAGTTAATGGCTGTTTGGTTGGCAGTGCAGGTGAGGTTTCACTGTCAGGATCATCATCATTTGCCAACAAATCATCAGTGATACTGTCCACATCATCAATGCTCTCATTCAGGCTATTTAGCTGATCTGTCGACTCGGCACTATCTGGAGTGGTAGTATGTGACACAGTCTAATCAAAGTGTAACAAAAAAAATTGTATTAAATTTTATTATGCACTTTCTTTTTTCAGACTCATCTGTGGCAGATTGGTTGGTGGTCTCAAAAGAGTTTGAAGAAAAATGGAATTACCCATCATGCATAGGGGCGATAGATGGAAAGCACATTGCCATACAGAATCCAAATGACAGTGGCTCTGAGTTTTACAACTATAAGCATTTCTACAGTGTGTTACTTTTGGCTGTAGTCGATGCCAATTACAAATTTATTTATGTAGATGCTGGAGCTGCTGGACGTGCTGGAGATGCTGGGCTCTATAATGCTTCAGTCCTGAAGAGGACCTTAGACGACGGGTCCCTCAATTTACCACCACCAGCATGTGTTGAAGGAATACCAGAGGCCTTAATCAATTATCATATGGTTGGAGATGATGCTTTTGCACTTACTAGGAATATGATGAAACCATATCCACACCGACATATGGATAAACCCAAACGCATTTTCAACTATCGGTTATCTCGCGCCAGACGGGTTGTTGAAAATGCGTTTGGAATTCTTGCCAGCCGATTTCGTGTGTTTCTCACAACAATAAAGTTGAGTCCTGAAAGAGTGATGTACTTGATCCTTGCATCGTGTTGCCTCCACAACTTCATGGTCGACAACAACAAGCAATGCATACACCAGTGCTGGTGATGTTGAAAGTGGAGATCACACATTCTTGTCTGGAGCATGGAGAGCTGACCCTCCACTCAACCGTTTGCAGTCCTGCACCACCGACCGCAACCCCACAAGAAGTGCAAAGCAACAACACCAGCTTCTCACCAGCTATTTCTCGGGTGCTGGGGCTGTTACATGGCAGGACAATATGATATAAAATGTATCAAATTTAAGATTTTACCTAAAGGAGTCTTCATTATTTATGGTTTAGGGGGTGGGGTGGTGAAATTGTAGGGGGCAGCTCCCCCCTGGCACGAGCACATCTTTACAGCTTCCATTAAAATACTTACTACATCTATACTCGAGGTTGATGTTCGAGTTGCAATATACGGTTCAAGGAATTGCAGCTTATCCCGTATCCAAGCGGCACGCTTGCTCAGCGATTTTCTCGCACTTCCACTGCTTTGAGGTTTTTTTGCTTTGGTGTAGCTGTTTCTCAATGATTTCAACTTTGCTTTCACATAGTCATCTACAAATTTAATAGATAAGTTTTTTCAAACTTTATAGTGACCTTTATAGAATTCTATTTCAATATAAAAATATCATATTGATATACTGTAGATAATATAATTCAAATTCCATTGGTGCAACAAATACTATAAAGTACAACACATATAAGGCCACATATTAATAAATTCCTTGATTCTCATCACCGCCCGACTGTATTTTAAGAGCCGCGTGAAAATTTTTTATATTTTGTTATACAATATAAATGTGCCGCCCGACAAAATATTTCAAGACAGTTAAGTTTTTTATATTTTATATTGGGTTTTTAGTGCCATTTTAAACTGCCAATTTCAAACAAATAGAACCTTGAAAGAAATTTCATTGCATTTTAAAGGAACTTCGCATTCAGTTCAAGGGTTCAGTCATTGTTCGTGGAGAAATATGTTTATTTCGGTTTGTGACACTTCACTTTGGAAATCACAGAAATATTAAATGTTAGGAATTATTTTTTTATTTCTTGACATGTAAATCATATAAATATAAAATATAAACCTCCCGCCTCTTCGACATTTTCAAAATGTAGTGATGAGAATCAAGGAATTTATTTTATGTGGCCTAACGTCATAGTATACAGCAGAATCTAACCCACTTGTCTATAAATTGGGTCATTTGAGTCCAATCCTTATGCATAAACCGTTTTTGTTTTAATATATTACCCTGAGAAATTTTATAACCACATTCAAAACAGATATAAACCATCGTCTACAAATAAAACAAATTTATATTTAAAAAGAAGGTCTAAATGTTGTACTGGTTCACAAGTAGGTTTATTTTAAAGTATTACCTAAAAATATTATCAAACAAAACTTCGACATTGCGACGAAACAAAGATTTTCTTATGCTGGAAATGTGTACGTTTTGTTATCTTTTTCAGTCACAGTACTGGCTATGCCGTTTTATATTTAAATTGTTAATAGTGTCGCACGTGACAGCTTTTCAGAATAACTAAATATTCCTGCATCATGGCGCGAAAATTTAAATAAAAATGGTAAACAAAGTTTAGTGAGAGTTATCCAAGTGCTAATATATTACCTGGTTGAGAAAGCTTACTGGCTATTTATTTCACCGCACATTCCCTTTTGTCCCTATTTCTAAAATCTGCAGATCTCACATCGTATAAACATTTGTATTCAGGCCAAAGTTCGACAAGTTTGTCCTCTAAAATTGCCTCGGCCAGCAATTCATTTTGCGCCGCCATCTTGGATGTTTACTTTCGTATACTATGCATGCGCTGTTACGACAATCCGTAAGCAGATAGCTTTCGTTCGCCGCACACAGAAAGATTTTGGCACGCGAGGCAGAAATTATCAAACATGTTAGATATTTGGTGTAAGTGGCACGAATGACAAAAGTCGTTCGTAAATCGCCCGCACACCTCTTGCCGAAATACCACCTCTTAGGAAGTGCTAAGTCAGTTTCTCTATTTCTAAGATTGTTGGTGTTTTCCGTTTCTTTATTTAATTGGCAGGACCATTTTAGATTGGGTGCGGTGTGGTCGTTCACAATTTTATGGATGAAGATTGATTTTAGGCAGTTGTGGTTTACTATAGGGGTTTCCAGTGAAGCAGATTAGGAGATCAATTTCCCATAGGTTGCCCCAGAAATTACTCCTGCAATGCGATTTTGATATTTCTGCAGCCTGTCGTTGAGGCCAATTCAACAATTGTCCCAGAGCGGGCTGCAGTAACCAAAGTAAGCTTAATTAAGGTTGATCAATGGTATTATATTTCATTGTTTCACTCATTTAAAATACTTAATTTTATT